AACAAATCTAATAGTAGTTAGATTATCTAAATTAACCTAGTAATATACTGACAAAATTATTTTGAGATTTAAAACCTGAAATTTAAATTTAAAGTCAAAATTGGTTTTGATTTATTTTATTTAAAAGATAAAATTTTTTAACTTTTTTTTTGAAAAAATAAAATTATAAGAAATATAACTATCTAAATTAGATTTGCTTTTATATTTAAAAAATTTTAATTTGCTTTAATAAAAACAAAATAAGATTTTTTTGAAAACCTATTTCAATAATATATATATTCAGTAAATGCCAAAATATTTTTGAAAAATGTAATATCAACTATATAAAATTTAAAGAATTTTATATAGATAACGAAATATATCTTGACATCTACTAAACTGATTTTAATGATCTATTATTAGATTCATCTCAATAAGCTCTGCAACTTTACTTTTTTTTATTTTTTTTTGAATATTAATAGTGGAACTATATTTCTATTTTTATTGAAATTTAATTAAAATCCTTTGTACAGAAAAAATTACAACTTAAACTTTATATCTTATGGTAGCAAGAAAAAAATTTATAGTTTATCTGTAATCTAAACTAACTAGGATGGCTATAGCTTACCTAGATCTGTAGATTAGAATTATATATATTAGACCTATTTTTTGCAACTTTATTTAAAAACTCAAAGGTGACAAAAAAAGTTTTCTTTAAACAATTACTGGAATTTTTTCTTTTGCATCTATAGTAATTTATATATAGAACTATATCACATAATATTATAATCATTTTTCAGTTTACTAAAAAATTGTCTATTAAATAGATAAATAAAAATTGCATATATAGCTAATTGTACTCTCTAATGTAATAGTAGGTTTTGTTATAAGCCTTCCTACCTGAATAATTTGAATAAAAACCTTAGCTCAAAGAGGCTAGTTAAAAAAAAATTAAATATAACAAATATATATAATTTTTTTTATATATACTATATTGAAGTTTTTTTAATCTAATATTTTTATTATATCAGAAGTAAGTTGTAATACAAAAGTTATAATTATTAAAAAAATAAATTATATTTAAAAATTTATTATTAATAAAAATAAATTTTATAAAAATAATATCTAACAAATCATTAACATTAAAAATAAAATTGTTATATAAAAATAATTAAGAATAATACTGTATATAAGTTATATTCAATACTAATATAAATTTTTAAGAAAGAACTAACTATATACTATATTAAATTTTTTATGTTATTAATAGAATACAAAAATTATACCTTTCTGTAAATAAAACTATGACATAGTTTAAGTTTTGGTTAGATTACTAATAAAATTTCACAAGAAATATTCTAATTAAGCCAAATAAAAAGTAATTTCTTAATTAAATTTGAGTTTTTTTGAAAAAAGTAGTTGTATATTAAACTTAAAATTTGATTGGTTAAAAAACCACAATAAAAGTACTCTGTATATTTTATTAACAACTTACACGTGGGTACTAAAAGATAATCTATTAGCTAGGTAGTAATATATAAAGTATTATGAATAAATAAAATACGTATAATTGTATAGATTTACCGATAATAATATCGGTTATTTTGAAAATCTCCCCATAATAATAAGCATAAAATCATATGTATATGATCTGAATAAAAAATCAGATATATCGAAACCCGATAGGCCACCGATTTATATGGCAAAACTTATTATCTTATTTTTTACTCAGTCACATGATTTTAGTAATATACGAAATGAATATTTCTATATATATCAATATAATGTTATTACTCATCAAGCGTGGCAAAGTCAAAATCTATTTCTATCTTAAATGTAGTAATTCATACTATAAAATAGTATATACTTTCAAGAATAAGGTTTAGAAAAAAAAACAAAATGAAAATGCAACAATTTGACAAGAATAAGGTTTAGAAAAAAAAACAAAATGAAAATGCAACAATTTGAAGAATATATAAATAATTGGCTGAATTGAAAGATCGATTTATTTTATAAAATTATTGTTAATTTATAAGATTCGTGATTCTTATTTTCTTTGCCCTTTTCCTTATATATCAATATATATATTATATATTTACTTGAATAAGCTTAGCTAAAATGTCATTCTACACGTTTTAATTTAACATAAATTTATATTTTAGCAACAAATCTTGGTGCTTTAAATTGTCATAGTTTATGCATCACAGTTTGGTCCGACGCTAGGGATGTGATTAAGCAGCTAATTTGACACAATCTACTAGACCTGTCACAGTTTTTGGGCGTGCGTCCAGTTGCTCAATCAATTGATTGATCTTTTCATAAATGAAGGCAACAAGTACAGAATGTTTTTTTCGTAAAATTTTGTTATCCTGCTCATTCCTCGAACGTGGTGATGTAGATTCGCCATATTTGTCGCCTAAACGCAATTTTTCCAAGCGAACCTTTAAATCATCCATATCCACAGGTTCCTTGTCATCAGGAGCTTGCTTATTAGTTTGAGTTTTTTCCTCAAATTTACTTGGTGCTTTTTGTGCAAGTTTTTCATTCCGTAAAACGTGTTCAATTTCATTAGAATTATTGAGAAATATTTGGACGTTCTGAGGTGCTATTATATATGGAGCTTGTGGAATGCCATAAATAGGAGTGTCGAGGGTAGGATATACAAGTGCAGTTTCAAGTGTGAAAGTGTTTGAGATACCGTTAAGAGGATTCATATAATCTAAGGCACTTTGTTCTACAATTGAACTATCATTACAACATGGTGTGCTAATATTTTCAACACATGGATAAAGACTGCCACTGTCTTCCGCTTGAAAGGAAGACACAGAATTAGGATAAATATTAGAGTCTACCAATCCTGAGTTAAAATTGAAATCACTACTCGTCATATCATTGAATTCAAATTCTGTTAAAACTTGTTTCATGAAATCATTAACCGTGACCAAATCATCTTTTGCATAATTGATTGGATTAATATCATCACCGTTAAGAGCTTGGCTTACACATTCTAATTTATTTATTAAACCTATAATAATAAAAAGGAATAAAATTTAAAAATATAACTTTTAAATATGATAGATGATAAAATGAACTTACAATCACTATACTGTGGGTCTATTTTATTTCTTTTTATATCCTGAATGAATTCATCCATAACGTCTACACTGCGCTTATGGCTATGATGTTTAGCGATATTAGTCGTAGATAATGGAAGATTGTTATTGAAATTGTAATTATTGTCTAAATAAAATGCATTTTGACCAAAGTTTGCATAATCAACAAGAATTTCTTGTCCGGATAACTGCTGATATTTACAGACTAAAAGATAATAATAATAATAATGATAATATATAATTTGTTATAAATTTTAATATATTACATTAAGATGCATTGCATGGAACTAAAATCTCACCCAAGTCAGAAGTTTCACTTTCCGGTGAGGGAGGTAATTGTTGCGGAGAAGAAGTATAAGAATTTGAAGAATCATCAATTGTATTTTGTGGAGGAGTAGGTGGTTGATTATTTTTAGAATGCCTGTTATTTTTTCCTGAAATTGACGCTCGATGATCCTCAGAATGAATTTTTTCATGCTTTTTTAAATCTTGAGGTCGTTTGAAAGCCTTTTGACAGTCCTATCATATGAGTAACGTAAACGTAGTTTTAACAGTTAGAGAAGAAATTCAACGTTAATCGAAATTAATAGATTACTCACTTACCTTTATTGGACAAACATGTGGTTTTAATGGTACGTGAACTCTCAAATGACTGGTAATATGATCTCTCTTGCTTGTTTGAGCTTCACATTTGTCCCAATGACATTTAAGGCATAGATTTCCAGTAGATTTTCTTCCAACGTGATCGTTCGCCAAATGTTGATAAAGCAATTCAGGATCTTCAAATTTACGTTTGCATTGTTTCCACAGACAAACCATTTCTTCGTTTTTAGCAGAAGGGGGTGGTGTCAATGACATTGTCGACAACTTAAAATTTTGGTAATAAAGAGAATTTAACTGCTAACGGTCTATAAGAATATAAATGAGTTAATTAAAGCTAGTG